ATGAAATTCAATTCCTTCCATTATGCTAAGGAATGATGAATTCCTTAACTTGTGGAATTCATTGGAATTTGAAGGATTTCATCCATTTCAAGAAATGAACCAAATAAAGGAATTGGAATTTGGTCAAAGGAATTTATCATTCCAATTCCATCAAATTCATTCGAATTTCGTGAACCAAACGGCCCCTAAGAAAATGACACTAAAGAAATTCAAACTTATGTCTGGGGTGGAAGAAAACTCTTGTAAACCAACTCTACCAAGGAAAATTTGTGTATTTATTGTAGTTTCAAAATATATATGGTGTCGCACAACAAATCAATACGGTTGCATCTTTTACGAACCTAAAGTGTGTTCGTCCCTACTAAAACTAGTAGATCATATATACAATCTTTTAAAAAACCTCTGAAAATCCCAACATTATGGGTATGTATCTAGATGCATATTCGAAGACTATTTCTGATAATGTTTTTCAAATTCTATAAAAAATAAAAGTCTATGTTGATTATATTATTATATGTTTTCTTATTACTTTTATTGCAAACAAATTATTGATTTTGTCGAATATTGTATATTTACAAGTAGCGGAGTTGAGTGAGAAGTTGGTAAGGGTAGAGGAGGAGGCGCGACTGCAGGAGGAACGCCATCAGGCCAAGTTGGAGGTCGGACGGAAGAGTAGAACAAATTTGGAGGCCGAACAAGCCAGACAAACTGTTGCATTAGCCGAACATGCCGCTTTATCAGAGCATTTTGTTGCGTTTATGTGGCAATTAGGATACGTTTCCCCCTCCCCTCCCACCTCGCAGTAGTTAGATTATATGAATTTGAACATAAAATTGTATGAATTTGATTTTTTTATTTGTATGAATTGTATATTTTAAATCGTATTAATTTATTAGTTTTAATTTATTCACATTTTTGGTTTGTTATTTTATGGTCAGGTTTTATATAAATAAATACATAAATTATGTAATCATAAATTATTTATTTTAGATTAGCGACGGATTAGCGAGGGAAAATTCGTCGCTAAAAGTCCATCCCCGTTCCCTCACTAATATGTCGCTGAAAGGTTTATTCGTTTATCCGTCGCTAAAAGTTTCCCTCGTTGATCCGTCGCCGAAATAATCCCTCACTGATCCGTCACTGAAACCTTCTCTCGTTGATCCGTCGTTAAAACTTTTCCTCACCGATCCGTCGTTGACTTCTGTTGTTGATCTTTCGCTGATAGCATTACCTACGAGCTTTTGATCGACAGACTATCAATAAGAGATCAACAACGCAACATTTTTTTTGCGACAGAATTTATTTTTAAAGTGAATCTCTATTTTCTTTGTTTTAAAGAATTTGTGAGAGGTGATTTTAGTTTTTAAAAATTAAGTCAATTTTTAAAGTTGACCAAGTATAAGGAATATGAATATACTATTGTATTGAGTATTGACCGACATGGACCATGGATCATCACATTTTTTTCCCATTAATTGTGTTTCGACACCCCACCGGCCACACTCTCTCTCCATCCCATACTCTCTTATTCCTACACTTCTCCCTCTGCATTTCACATGCTTTTCTTATTCGTTCTCTCCTTCCACCCTTTTGCTCGAGGTGGGGGCAACGCCTACCACCACTGGGGGCAACACACTATCAGAGTCCCCAAAAAAAAGAAATTTCTTTCATTCTGACTGTGAAATATATATACTTTCCCCACTATAATTATAATTCTAGTCTTAGATAAAAAAAATTAAAATACTATATCATGCATCAGTCTCAAGGTTATCATAATTTCATGAGTTAAAAAAAAAACTATATAAATATATAAACAATGTCAAATAAAGATTAAAATATACATCATTTTAAAATTTATATGTCAGATAACAAAAAATCCGAGTTTAATAATTGAATTCATGTATTTGAAAGGAAAAGAAATCGGTATGCGAATGACAATCATGAGAGGACGTTGTTTGCCAAATTTATTCTTTTTGTTTTCGAGCAAGATATACACATTCAAAAAAATACAAACACATGTTTTAATAAACGTCATAAATTATTTTAACCACAAGGGTGGTTTCTGATTGGTTTGAGCTTGATCTTCAAAGATCAAAAGTGTCTGAAAGTCTCAAGTTCAAATTCAAAGAGAAATAAAAATCTTCTTGCGGCTACGAAGGTTAATGCAGTGAGACTAGACCACCCGCAAAGCAAATGGTCGTTCCGGGATTAATCGGCTAGTTGGATATCCAAGTTAATAAAAAAAATCATTGAATGATAATTATTTGAATGTCGACCTATTTTAGGTTTCTATATCATGTTTTGGTTATCGTCTTTATAATGTTGTTATATCTTATATGGTCTCAAAGAATCAGTATAATAATATTTTTCGAGATTTAATATATAGTATTTTAAACGTGTAGGAAAAAAAAAAATAGGGCAGAAGTATGGATGGTTTTGGAGAAGCTACTTCTATGTCCTCCCTATAAAATCCCATTCTCCTTTCCATAATAACCCACCAAGCCAAGCAAGAGCAAAAGCACAACATATATCCAACCAAATGGGTAGCTTGCCTGTTTTTTTGGAAAAGGGGACATTGCCTGTTGCAACCCATGAGTTCTTGAATCCTCTAGACCATGAGCAATTTAGAAAGCAAGCCCATTTGGTGGTTGATTTCTTAGCAGATTACTACTCAAATATCGAGAAATATCCTGTTTGTAGCCAAGTTAAACCTGGTTTTCTCACAGAAACTATGCCCGATTCACCACCAWYCCAACCTCAACCYSTTGAAGCTATATTGCAAGAKGTACAAAAGCAYATAMTTCCAGGMATAACCCATTGGCAAAGYCCWRGTTTTTTTGSTTACTTCCMATCYARTKKAAGCACTGCAWMCTTTCTTGGMGAAATGCTACTYACRGGCTTTRAYAYAGTAGGGTTTAACTGGTTGGCATCTCCTGCTGCCACCGAGCTAGAGATGGTTGTCATGGAGTGGCTTTTGAAGCTTGTTCAACTTCCTAAATCATTCTCCTTTTCTAGCGATGGTGGGGGTGTGATGCATGGCACTACATGCGAGAGCTTCGTATGCACATTGGTTGCTGCTAGAGAAAAAAAGTTGAGCCAGATTGGGAATAATAGGGGAGACACCTTAGGGAAGCTTGTAGTGTACTGCTCCGATCAAACACACTGTTCTCTCCAAAAGGCGAGCCAAATCGTTGGGATCAGTCCGAACAATGTCCGGGCTATCCGCACAACCAGGTCCATGAATTTCCAGATGTGCCCAGATGCGTTGTTGAYGACTATCGAAGAAGATGTTAGAGCAGGGTTGGTGCCATTGTATTTATGTCTCACAGTAGGAACGACACAAACAACAGCAGCTGACCCAATTGGTATCTTGTGTGAAGTTGCAAAGAAATTCAATCTATGGTCTCATGTTGACGCTGCTTACGCAGGAAATGCATGCATATTACCAGAATTCCGTCATTTTCTTGATGGAATAGAAGGTGCAAACTCCTTCAGTTTCAATGCTCACAAATGGTTGTTGACCTCTTTAGGTTGTTGTTGTCTTTGGGTTAAAGATCGCACCGACCTTACAAAATCTCTCTCGACTGATCCTGAATACTTGAAGAATAAAGCAACTGATACGAAGCAAGTGGTGGACTACAAAGACTGGCAGATTACTCTGAGTCGACGGTTTCTGTCAATGAAGTTATGGATGGTGATGAAAAGCTATGGAGTTTCAGGACTAAGAGAGTTCATAAGAAGGCATGTGAATATGGCCAAGCATTTTGAAGCACTTGTGTGTGGAGACAAGAGATTTGAAGTTGTAGTTCCTAGGAACTTTGCTACCGTGTGTTTTAGAATTGCACCATCGAGTGAAGGTAGCAACGAAGAAGACGTAAATCAGTTGAACCGGAAGCTGTTGGAATCGTTGAATGGGACGGGGAGTGTTTACATGACACACGCGGTGGTCGAAAATATTTACGTGATTCGGGTGGCAATTGGTGCAACGCTTACAGAAGAGAAACATATTAATAAGTTGTGGGATATGGTGCAAGAACATGCGAATACTTTGCTTGCATGCTAATTAAGAAGTTGAGTCTCATGCAACTAAATTCCAATTAAACCATGTTTAAAGGGAATAAGATCGATTGATCATTATATTCTTTCCATAATAAATTCAAAAGTTTTTTTTTTTTTTTTTTAATGTATTGAGATGATAAATTAGAGAATAGCATAATAATAGAATTTATGTTAAAATTTCAAAAATAGAAAATCTAATATAAAAAAATTATGCTTTCGTTCTTTATTTTAATAAAATAAAAAACTTGTTAACATCCTCCTTACCAGAGTGAGATGTCATCATCCTGATTTTACCCATATATATAATATATGCCCATCACTCTAGAAAAACGTTCAACTGCAGAGTTATGAATATTGTTCATACATAATCAACATATATGCCTCCATAAACGTCACATGTGCAACATATCACATACATCGCTAAATGTTTATATATATATATATATATATATATATATTATAATTTTGATTTAGTTCTGAGATATATTATTATATTAATTAATAATTTTTTACTTGGTTAACACTAATTAATTAATATAAAACATATCATAATTAAACAATAAGTTTTAATTCAGACTTGCTTTAATCAAATCTTTTATCTCAATTTTACCTTTTATCGTAATCATATCATTACTTATCCATTAACTTTAAAACATTATGGTAAGAACCCTCTAAGCAAAAGGTTTTTCAATTTAATAAGAACTAATTATGCATACGATAACGATTTTTTGGTCAAGAAATATGTTAATTATTGTAGTATAAGAAACAAAATTTGTTAATAAAGTAATAAAATACAATATAAAACAATGAAATATCTTAAATAAAAATTATTTTTATCGTTAGATTTTTTAATATGAAATTTATCAGGTTTTTTATTCATGGATAGACACTCGACCATTAATTTAATCTTCATTATACTGTGAACTTTGCTAAAAATGTTTTTTCATTTATGAAAATTTCTTCCGGATATACCCCCCAAAGAATCTTTTATTTCAAACGAAAAGCAACAATTACGAAAGAAAATTAGACATCCTCAAGCAAAATACATGTCTTCCAAAAACATATATAGTTTGACAATGAGAAATTCTCTAAAAGTATAATACCACTTTACATTTTTTAGATCCAATCATCTATGTATATGTAAAATCATAAACTTTTATTAGTCGGCCTCTATACCACCAATTGAGCTAGGAATTTAAAATTAAATAAAAAGTATTATATGACCATTTTCGCCAAAAATTTCCAAGAACAAACACACTATTTACACTAAAATTTTATTAGCCTTTCCAATCTCATGCATAGCCCAAAAATCCTATTATCACAAAATTAAATCTTTCAGTAAAAGAATTCCTGCATCTTTTTTATGTAATTACACAAAAAACCAAATCTAGCAGCAAACTAACATATATAGGAACACAATTAAATCGCCACCAATATTTGCACATTGACTCATGCTCCCTTACACCTATCATTTAGAAAAATCAAAACAAAAAGAGAACTATATAAGATCAAAACAAAGAGATGCACAAAATCATAAGTCAAATGACAACTATACAAACTTAACAACAAAGATAACACATCAAGTTCTATTAGGATTGCTGCAAAGATTCAGTTCAACCTTAAGATGAAAAACAATCAGATCATAACACTTTGATGTTAGGGAGGTTTTGAGGCGCTATATCACCAATTGTTGTCACTACTCCAAACATCAAAGCTTCAATATGCACTATTTTCATTTTCTATATTATGTTTTATTTATAATAACTATTGTTTATACAACATTTAATATAATTAAAAACTTTTATTTTTATTTAATTTGTACTTTCTTATTTAAATTCTTCTTGTAAAAGTCAATATTAATTCTTTTGGCAATCCTTTTATGACCAGATCCTGAATGAGCCTGTTGCAAAAAACTCTTTGAGTTTGGAAAGTGAACTACTTCGTGAAATCTTTGTCAGCACTTGATTAACACTTTTGCAAATCCTAATAAAACTCTTTTTGGGTTTCAAATATTTTATTTTAAGTTACAAAAAATATAAATTTTAAGACACAAAAAGACATTACAATTTACTTACGTAGGTAACATAACAGAGTAATAGAAACTTCACCTGATGAACATAGTTGCGGAAAACATAAATGAGGATTTTTCCATCTTTATTTTCTTTAGGATAGAGAATGTTGTTGATGTGAGTTCAAACCAAAAAAGCACTCGGATATTTAAACAAACTTTTTGTATTCGTGTGTAGGAACATATATAGGAACCAAAATTATAACAACCGAAAGAAAGAGCACAAAGTTTATAAAATCATCATTCTCCGCAAAATTTCACCGTACTAATCTTCTGCAATGAAGTACGCAGTCTCGGTTGAACTTGGGTGCGTGTGAATGTTTTCAAAAACATAATCTATTGTTTCTTGAATGCTAAAGCTAAATTGGAAACGAAGAGATTGAGAAATAAATAGATGGAGAGATCAAAATTAAAACAACTGAGAGAAAAGAGCATAAAGATATAACATTACCATTATCGTCAAAATTTCACCGTACTAAGCTTCCGCTATTAAGTAGTCCTCGTTGAACTTGAGTGCGTATGAGAATGTTTTTAAGAACATAATTAATTGTTTCCTGACTGCAATTTATGCCAAAACTAAATCAAGAGGAAGAAATTAAGAAATAGGAAAGATAAAGAGTTGGAGAAGGCAAAGCAATTGCAATAAAGAATAAAGAAATGTCTACCAGAAAGTTAAATAGTCTAGGAGGTTAAACTTAAGTTGAATGCTTATCAAGAAATTGAATAATTTCGGAGGTTAAACTTAGTTCGATGCAAAATTACCAAAAAAATCTCATTTATTTTGAAACATACAATTTTTCTACAGGGGCATAATAATCTTTAACGTAATTAGTATTTTAAGAAATAAAAAAAAGGAGAGAAAATATAAATAAACTCTTTGCTTTTAGAAGATGCCACATCATACATAGTCGTTTCTTCTTTAATATATATATAAAGATAAAGATTGATTCCATCTACATTTAGAAAGAGATGCACCAAAACATAAGGCAAAAGTCAATAATACACACACTTAACAACAAAGATAATACATCAAGTTTTATTGGGCTTTAAACTATATAAATACCAAGAGAAGATTGAAAGAACCCTTTTGAAAAGATTCGGTTCACCCACATTTAGAAGGATCAAAACAAAAAAAGAACTATATTAAGATCAAAACAAAGAGATGCACTAAAACATAAGACAAAAGTCAATAATACACAAACTTAACAACAAAGATAATACATCAAGTTTTATTGGGCTTTAAACTATATAAATAGTTAAATACCAAGAGAAGATTGAAAGGACCCTTTTGAAAGATTCGGTTCACCCACATTTAGAAGGATCAAAACAAAAAGAGAACTATATAAGATCAAAACAAAGAGATGCACCAAAACATAAGACAAAAGTCAATAATACACAAACTTAACAACAAAGATAATACATCAAGTTTTATTTGGCTTTAAACTATATAAATAGTTAAATACCAAGAGAATATTGAAAGAACCCTTTCGAAAAAATTCGGTTAAACCCTAAGATAGAAAGCAATCATATCATATCATTTTGAGAAAAAGAAATCAACATATTTACAATTTCTTGATATGGAAGAACTTTTGAGGCATTATATCACCAATTGCCGTCAATACTTGCAAAATCTTCAGTTAATAATCCTAACAAACAACAAAAAAACATCCAACTCATTGTTGATTAAAAAAATAATAAATATCAATTCATGATGCAACTCAAAACACAAAATCAATAAGAAAAACTTTTCACAATTCATAAAATGGAACAAACTTAGTTCAAGATTTACCATAAGAAAAAACTCTAATTTATAATTTATCAAATAAATAACCCAATTCTTGAAATATGAAAAAATATACAAATTTTATAACAGACAATACATTTGTTGAAGTTGTGACATGTAAGGATAAAGGTTTTTCGTTGCAACATGAAACTTGTTTTTCAAGTAAGAACTCAACTTGATCATAGCACTATATAACATGTGTTTATATATAACATTACAATTCTCGGTGTGTATGAATGTTTTCAAGAACATAATTGATTGTTTCTTGATAACAATTATGCCAAAACTAAATAGAGAGAAAGAGATTGAGAAATAAAAGGATGAAGAAATGGATAGATGAGAAGTTGGCGAAAGTAAATTAATTGCAACAAACAATAAAGGGAATGTCTATCAAGAAGTTGAATAGTTGGGAGGTTAAATTTAAGTTGAATGCAAAATGACCAAAAAATCTCATTTATTATGAAACATACAATTTGTCTATAGGGGTATAAAAGTCTCTAACTTAATTAGTATTTTAAAAACTAAAAAAAAATGAGGAAAAAAAAATAAAAGAGCTTTTAGCCTTTAGAAGAATTGGGAGGTTTTTTTTTTCTTAAACAATGTTACACTATTTCTTCAAGGGTTCATATGTCACTTTATCCACACACAAAAACTACATATGCCTACATAATTCCAACTTTAATGTCAATATCTTCGATCCAATTTTAGTGTGAATATCTCCAATTAAAAGACGAAAATACTATATTTACATTAACAAAAACTCATGTCATATTTCTCTTATTGAATGACGCCTCAAATAAACAAAAGTGCAAATCACCTCAAAACTGAATTGAAAAGAAGAATTGAGAGGTTTTTTTTTTCTTAAACAATGTTACACTATTTCTTCAAGGATTCATATGTCATTTTATCCACACACAAAAACTTCATATGCCTACATAATTCCAACTTTAATGTGAATATCTCCGACTAAAAAAGAAATATTATACTTACATAAGCAAAAACTCATACTATGATATGTCTTATTGAATGACACCTCAAATCAACAGAAATGCAAATCGCATCCACAAATTTATAACTGAATAGAGAGGAAGAATTGAGAGATTATCATAGAGGTGTACCACAAAATTATACATGAATAGAGAGGAAGAATTGAGAGATTAATAGAGAAATTATCATAGAGGTGTACCACAAAATTATACATGAATAGAGAGGAAGAATTGAGAGATTAATAGAGAGGTTATCAAAGAGATGTACCACA